TTATTACATTTTTGTTACAATCTGTCCTTAAAGAGGACACTTAAGTCACAAATATCATAACCAAAAGGTAATGAAAGCTACTATAACATGTACAGTAAGGATAAAGAATATTTCAGATTTCATTCATGTTACATACATGACAAGATGTTTTCTTCCTTAACACGAAAGGTACTGTTGCTGTCATTTCCCCTGGAAATGTCATCTTGCACACACACAAGAACACACAAAGTAAAGCCTTCTGAGCATACAGAAGAAGAAGTTCATTGAATTTCAAAGAATTCAGTCCTATCATGTTTGATCAATGTGGCCTTTTTAGCTCATCTATTAACTCCAGTCTGTAGGTGTCTACCACACCCCCAGAGGGCGCTGTTGACTGGACACTTGTCTGGACTGTGGAGTTCAGATGAGGGAACTCAACCTCTTGAGAGTTCTTCTCAGAGGAAAACTGCATCTTCTTGAAGCCAGTCAGTAGGTCTCTCTGCTGCTATAGCTGCATCAGGAAACAAACTCTCATTTCCAGGATGTTTGCCTTCTCACATTGCTGTTTGAGGAACTCTGGACCAAGGAGAGACTTGGACTCGTTGCAGCTATTGATTTGCTCTATGCGTAATCATCTGAGGTTTTCTGAGCTGCAGAATGAAGAACAAAGTTGTTAATAAACTTGTTAAAATTTAAAAAATGCAAGTGCCTATAATCAATATCAAAACTGGTTCAAATAAAATCCTCAGTTTACCTTGTGAGCCAGAGTCTGATGTTCCTGGGGATTGGTCATTGCTGCAGTGATTCTAGGCGCCATTCCTGGTTTTATGTCCTGCAATGATCTCTGTGGAGATCTGTGTTCTGATCTCTGCTGGCTTCATCCCTCTTATTTATACTTCACCATCTCCATATGAATGTGTGGGTTTAAGTCTGGCTGAGATTTCCCACAGTCTGAACCAATCAGCGGGCTCTCTGACACAATAAAGCATGTGGAGCCAGCATCTTAGTCCTGTGTGCCTGGGTGATATTAAGTCCCAGAGGAGGAGACCTGGAGGGAGATGGAGAGGTACTTATTATGTGAATCAGGGAAAGTGGTGACCTTACAGTGAGCAGATCTGCTGCCTGATGCTCGGATCAATAACTTTGACTAAGCTAACACTCATGATCCCATTGCATGAGTGGGGAATGACAAACTTTTAATGTATGAGTTGGTGGCACTTTTTAACATGTCCCACAACTAAGGGTGTACTTGTAATTAAGTGAGATTTTAGCATATTTTATGTCAAATTACAAAGTAATTATATTTACCTGCAAATAGGTAGAGGACGTACACTAGAATAAGGGGGTAACGCGCCACGTTTTTACAGGAAATAAGGAATTAATTATGCTTTAAGTAAATTTAAGTAGTCTGTATGTAATTTGAAATATGTAGAAGTAATTTTAGGTGGTGCATAAGTAATTTTGTTTTAGAGGAAAGAAGAAGTAATTATATTTCAAGCCAATTTAAATAGTGCCTAAATTCTGTGTGTTTTGCAGGCAAGGTAACTCAGATTATGCTGTAAAATGTTTAGTACAGAATTAGTAATTTTAAGTGCAAAATTTCTTTCTCTAATCTTTTTGAAAAACAAACAATATTTCCTCTTCTTACCCTGTAAGTACAGAAAAATGGCACACTCCCATAAACTCTTTTTAAAACTCATGCTTGAACAGAGAAAGAAAAGATAATTAGACTTGGCTCCATCATTATAAGTTCACATAGGCTTCCAAGTGTATAGAACGTCTATCGTGCACATTTATGTAATGAATATTAAAGGAAGGCCAAAGTGCTTAGACCTGGGCTGGTTTATAGTATTACTAAACATATTTTTTGCAACTGCACCATTAGTAAGCTGAGTGTTGTTCCCATTGTTTTAGTTTAAACTACTCAGTGCAATAAACTTACTGGTGTCCTTTGTGTCTTTTCACACATGCCATATATCCAGTGTGAGTAGCAAGTTGATCTAAGTTTCCCACACGGACTCTCTGTGTTGTGTTCAATGAACCACAAAGGGATTTCAGTGACAGATGCTGCCTGTGTGTTGTTGAAGAAAGACAGCATTACATCATCAGCCATCTGGAGGGAAAAGATCCCATTGGATGGCTCTGACAGCTTGAAATTTTTAAAATTAGTTTGAAAACTAAAAGCAAAGTAAAAATGTTTTGCAGGTCCTACTTTCAGTTTTCCGCCACTACATTTTCTACTTTAAGGCATAAATATGACTGATAATTACAAGCCACCAAATGGATGGGAGGGTAGAAGGTTTCCTGTGAGCAAGCAGTTTCCTCAAGTGTGCCATTTCCCTCTGGAGAAACAGCAAACTGCTGGTGGAAAGATAACTAGATATTCTGGATTTTTCCCACACTTCCTCCTTTAACAGAAAATTGGCATGTGCCCATTTCCAAATTAGTTTGAGGATTGTTTTTCTTTGGGCCAAAGTGTGACAAACCTCTTAAAATATGTATCTGACCCAGGACAGTATCCCTTCTATTAAACAGCTGTATATGTGCTCTTTATACAGGAAAATATAGTATGACAAGTCTCTGTGTTTGCGCTCTAAATCTGGGTCACAACACTTTATTACACAGCATGAACATACAGACATTCAGCTAACAAATAAAATCTAAAAGTGTAACAATTAGACTATATTATTTGATCGTCTTTGATGGAAGTCGTTATCAAGAAAACTATTTTTGAATTCAACCAGGAAAATATCAGAGATTGTAAAGGAGGAGAGCCTTGTGAGCCTCTGTCATATAACTCAAAGGTTTGTTTTCAGTGCTGAATCTAACAATAATGTGTTTCTGCATAATTTCAAAAAGCCCACAAGGCATAATGGGTAATTTCCAGAACAAGTCTGGTTGTCATTAACCTTAACTTTATTCTGTTTATTTGCACAACCAGTAGAAGAGAGCAGATTTAATATCAAACTATTCATAATTCACAAGAGGTAATTATTCGGAGAAGTTTCAGAACAGTCCCCTCAAGTTTTTACGTTTATGTTGACTAAAGCGTTTTGTTTTACCACAAGCTCTTCCTTGCTGTGCTGCAGAAGTAAGCTTTGCAACATTTGACTGTATGCAGTTGTAAGAATGTCACTAATGAATTCAGTTGTGTAGCTAGCTAGCTAACAAGCTAGGACTGTGTTTCTAACACCATGGAGTTTGTATCTTTTTCCCCAAAGTACAGGGTTTCTTAAGTAAGTCACCAATACTACAAGAATACTTTCACTAATCTTTGGCCTGGTGGTTTTTATACTGAGGTATTTCTGTTTTTAATAACGTCTTTGCGCCTGAGTCCTGTGTGGTAGGTTTCTGTCTACTCCTGAAGGCTTGAGTTGAAATGAGCTTTTCATTCTGTGAATTAGACTATACACAGCTAGAGCTAAATCCTTAATTTTCAGTGTGTCGCTGTGAAAATATCCGTTGACAAACATTATCATTGACTAGATGAGTTGCTATAGCCCCAGAAAAACTAATCTCAAAGAACTTCATCAGGACTCACAAACCGGCAGCTAACACATTTGGGGTAGTGAGGTTTATGGTGGCACTTGACTTTGTAGTGAATCATATAAAACAGCATTGATCACCATCTTTACAAATACTTTCAGACCATGTGTTACAAGATCAATATGTGTTCTTAGTGCTTATGTTCTGATTATATTGTTTTATGTATTTTAATAATAAAGGCTTGTAAAGCAAGGCCACTTTTGACTCCTAAACCAAGTGCTCAGCCAGACTGAAAAACAGGAAGTTAGTGTAGAGCTGTACAAGCATATAAATAAATACAGGAAACCAGACAGAAAAAGAGGAACTAGTAACATATAAGGAGTTGTTTGTATCGAAACGATGTGTGACGTGTAAAGTACCAAAATAACACCTATATGAGACACATTTTTAGCTTCTAATGTTGGAGATTCTGCAACTGGCTTTGGGCTGTGCGTGGCTCTCTCTTCCAGAAGATGATTGAATAAAGAACTATAAATGTTTTGACCACTCCTGAGTTGGGTTTTCTCTGTTCTATCATGGGGATCAAATCGAGTTTAATAAATGTTTTTTTCAACTCTGGTCCACCTAAAAAAAGTTCTCCAGAAGCTAATGCTTGAAATGGTTGTTTTGTTTAACAATATTAAATTATAATGTTTTAAAAGTACTGTTGACACTGCTTTTTTTAAACAGAGGAAGAGCCAAAAAACACAATTTATAAGAAACAAGTTTCACTTTGAGCCACGCTCCCATTTATAATCTGATCGTTCTGGATCTATTGTTTCACTGGGGCTCTGTAAGTGATTTTATTTTGGTTTCCCACAGTTCCCCAGTTGTTATTCGGTCCAATATGACCAACACCTAAACTAGATTAAATAACACTCTTCATCACAGATTTTAGTGCTTTATTTTCCTGTGAACATGTCTTTTTGAGAAACAATTATAATGAGTGCTGGACTTTCTAGGTATTTATAAAAAGTGGAGACTTAAAATGAAGGAAAATGAAGAATGCATATCTTTCAGCAGATAGGTCCATAAAATAATATTAGAGCACAGTGTTTTCATCGTACAGTGTTTGTTTATTTAGCATGAACGAAAGCTCAAACAGGAGGTGATGATCCATCACAACAACAACTCATAGTTTCTACAAGAGACGCTGTACTCATAAAGAGTAGAGGGAAAGCTGTCTTTATGAAAGACAATGGATTTGCAGTATTTTTTTAATTCCCTGTTTTCCTCAAACAAAGCAAAAATTTACAAAAATTGACCTTAAAACAGGTCAGGTAAAACCATTAAAATAAACTGCATTGTCTCTTCAAATCTGAGAATGACTTTTCTGCAAAACATTTAATTTGATCTTAAAACAGATCCCTTTTCATTAATCACTTACATTAAAGTAAACTTGATGAAAAAAAAAGTTTTATCCACAAAGGATACAAATAAAAACTCTCACTGATGATAAAAAGCTATAAATAACCCAATTACACAACTCAACCCACAATGGGTTCTAGTGAGTCCAGTTCAGGTAAAGTTCATTATTACTTTCTGGTCAGAAAGAGGACATTTTAATTTTAGATTAAAAAATCAATAATGGTAAAAAGTATTACTATAACATAATCAGTACAAGAAGTACCTCTCAGATATAATAATGATTGCAGATTCAATCAGTTTTCATTCATGCAATATGCATCTTATGATGTTTTTCTTTCCTAACATGCAGGATACTGTCAATGTCATTTCCTTAGGAAACGTCATCTTGCACATTCACAAGAACACACAAAGTAAAACCTTCTGTACATACAGAAGAAAAAGTCCACAGAATTTTAAACAATTCAGTCCAGTCATGTCTGACCGATATGGTCTGTTTAGCTTGTCTGGTATGGAGTCCAGTGTGAGTGGTCTACCACGGCCTCCAGAGGTCGCTGTTGTCTTTTCTCTCCAGAGAGCATTGGGTGATGCTGGTCTGGTCTTTCGAGCTCAGAATAGAGAAGTCAGCCTCTTTCAGCTTGTCATCAGAGGCAGTCTGCAGCTTGTTGGAGTGCGTTAGCAGGTTTCTCTGCTGCTGTAGCTGTGTCAGAAAGCAAACGGTCATCTCCAGGATGTCTGCCTTCTCCAGGTTGGAGTCTGGCTGCTGTTTGAGGAACTCTGGACCCAGGAGAGACTTGAGCTGCTCAATGCAGGTGTTGATTCGCTCTCTGCGTAACTTCTCCACCAGAGGCTTTCTGAACTGCAGAAAAAAGAACAAAGTCATTAATAAACTTGTTCAGGAGTTTTGTTTTTGTTAGCAACAAAATATATTTTCTACAATTTGACAGTTTACATGAACGAAACCTTCAGTTTACCTTGTGGTTCAGAGTCAGATCCCGAGAACTGGTCATGGCTGGATCGCTATGCTGTAGAGGTCTCTGTAGAGAGAATCTGATCCCTTCTGATTTCATCCCTCCTATTTATACTCCATCATCTCCATATGAATGTGTGAGTCTTGGTCTTGTTGAGGTTTCCCACAGTCTGAGCCAAACAGAGAGCTGCTTGAGACAATAAGGCATGTGAGGCAGCGACATTCTGTCATTACCACCGGGAGTATAATAGTTAGCTCCCAGGGGAGCAGGTGGAGGAGATAAAGAGAGTGCAAGAGGGCGCTTTGTGAATCTGTGAAAGGGAGCAGATCTGATATCTCAGCACACCCTTAACATCCTATCAAATACGTGCAAGTTTACTTGATCTAATTAATGAATTATAGCTCTAACTTATAGGTAGATGACATTAGCTCTTTGCTTGTTTACCAAAAAAACTGAAGAGTGAATTGTGTATTGAATGTATTGTTATATTTAATTTGTAATTTATCAAGATATTTCATTTGATACTTTATTTAAACTTTTATCAAACCTTTTTTCAATAAAAAAAATCCAATTTTTCCTGTAATAACATGGTTGAGTGCAAGAGCCTGTGATTTTCTCACTGAAATTACTCAACACGATTATCATGCTGCTGACCACATGCAGTCATCCTTTGACACGTGCCGTATATCCAGTGTGAGTAGCAAGTTGATCTCAGTTTCCCACACTGACTCCCCGCGCTGTGTTCAATTAACCACAAAGGGACTACTGTGACAGATGCTGCCCGTGTGTTGTTATACAAAGAAAGAATTACATCACCAACCATCTGGAGGGAAAAGTTCCCATTGGTTGGCTCTGACAGACAGTTTCAATTTAAAACTGCTGTTAAAAAGTTTATCAAAACTAAACTCAGAATGTTTAAACCTGTCACATTTTAAGTTTTCTAACACTATAATACATTTTGAACTTTGGTGATAATCACTCACTCACTACTGAGTATCAAAGTAATCAACATTTTAACTGTGAGAGTGGGAGGTTTCCTGAAGTGTGCCAAATCCCTCAGGAGAATTAGCCGGCTGCTGGTCGGCTGATCGTTATTCACTCTCAGCTCTGTTCTCCAGAGTTTTCCCACACTTTAGTAAAAAAAATTGACATGTGCCAGTATGTAAGTCAACATATTTTTTTATTGCAAAGGTGTGTGAAATCTTCTGAAAAATCTTGCCAGTTTATTTTTTTTTAAAAAAACTGGTTGTTCAAA